GCAGCCCTCAAATAGATTTTCATTTTGGGGAAAAGGTTTGTGCAGCCTTGATACAGTATATGTATTTAAACTGAAACAGCTCGACTGGTGCATCCTAAATTTAACATAAATTAATTATTTTAATACGATATAGTCATTTCCGCATTTTTTTTGGGGGAGGTCACCTCCTAATAAATGTTGTTACAGAAAATCTAACTGCTAATTTTAAATCAGTACTTTTACTTTTAATACTTAAGTACAAAAAATATCAGATACTTTAAGACTTTTACTCAAGTAATATTCCTAAAGGAAACTTTAACTTTTACCAAAGTAATTTTTTGGTAAGATACTTGTACTTTTACTCAAGTATCACATTGTAGTACTTAATACAACACTGATTAATATTATATGGGGCGGCTGTGGTGGAGTGGTTAGGGAAGTTGTCCCGTAACCGATTGGTTGCCGGTTACATCCCCTGTTCCAGTTGTCTCAGTTGTTGTGTCCTTGGGCAAGACACTTCACCCACCTTGCCTACTGATGGTGGTCAGAGGGTCTGTTGGTGCCGGTGCTTGGCAGCCTCGCCTATGTCAGTGTGCCCCAGGGCAGCTGTGGCTACAGTGTAGCTTACCACCATCAGTGTGTGAATGGATGAATGGGTAATTGGGTGAAATGTAAATGTTTTGGGGTCCATATGGACTTGATAAGGTGCTTTATAACAATTTACCATTGAAACCATCTTTATTCCCTGACAGTAACACATCTGACTCCTCCTAATTTGACTACAAAATTGTTGTCTGGTTGATTAAAAATAATTAGGTGAGGTCTCTAAGTGGCTTTAATTACTAACAGTTTMCACTTGGATTACTATCCATGACAGCGTCTTCAGCAGACCCAGCTGAAACACATTAAATCTGACAACACCTCTGTGGAAATAACTCACTGATCTATCTTAGGTGAGTTTAATTTATAATTTTTAGTTTTGTTAAATTCTATACATTATGATGTAACACAATATTTGAGTCTTACTACTATCTTAAAAATTGTCCTTGTTTAAAATCAAGAAAACACAATGCTCTACTTTTAAACTCAAGCCTCCAAGCTGATTTTGTACATGCTATTTTTTAACTGTAGAACTACACAGGCTTGTGTAAAAATGTCAACCTGCACAATACAACCTGTATGAAGAATAACTTCAGCATATCCATAGAACCACCCATCCAAAAGGATTTTATCTGTCCATTCACTCTGTTCTTTTATTCATCATTCTATTTCTTTTCCTAGAAGGGGAGCGCTGTTGGTTAAGGTCTAAACTCTCTGAAGGGAATGGAGAGATTTCAGGTGTCAAGGGAGAGAGAGAGAGAGAGAAAGAGAGTGGAAGAGTCAGGGAGGGACGTGAATAATAGATCAGACAGGGGGGAAGAGAAAGTGAAACGAGTCAGGAGAGAATGAGGAGGTATTAAAGGTAGGAATAATCGAGCAGTGAACGAGAGAAGGAGAAACAGATATGAAAGGAGGGATCAAAACAGACAGAAAGTCAGAGAGAAAAAGCCAAAGTGAATCATATGATTGGGAAAGATGAAAGAACGATGGCTAATTTTCTTTGAAGGGCATTCGAGTCATTGAAATGCTGCATCTGTCCATGCATCCAGTCATCCATCTGTCCRTCCATCCATCCATCCATCCTGTCATCCATCTGCTCCTTCCTCATTTTAAGTCTCTTTCTTGCCCCCAGCAGGGTCAGGAGTTGTTGCATAAGACCTGTGATTCATCTTTTATTGAGATGGGAAGCTTCTAAATATATGGCTACCTTTTTCTTTTCATTTTTTTTTTCCTGGAGTTAAAAAAACCTCATCAGTAATCCAGATAAAAATAAACATGGATGGACACAGCATGCAAAGAAAACAACAAATCAAATTATGCTGTAAGCACAYAGGACACAACCTCTGTTTTCACAAAAAGAAATCCAGAGTTACATTTTTTGTATCAAATCAACAGCTGAAAGATGTATTTTTAAGAAGCAGGATATTTCTCATGTACCTGATGACTCTTTAATTAACTGTTTGTAGTTAATGAGCTGAATACAACTCAGACTGATTAAGTAAAAAATAACAATAGTTTCTTTATTGTTCATTACAGCTAAGCAGACAAACATTTAAATTTAGTACTTTTTAATAAACAAAAGTTAAACATTTGATGTTTTTACAGCAATCTTGGTTCTGAAAATCAAAGTCCATTTGTCTTCTGTTCAAACTCATAGTATGACCTGGATAAATAGGAAACCACACTAATTTTAAAATACCTAAAACATTCTATATATTACTTGGGATTTCTTTTTTACATCTGCGAGTATTTGAGAAGTCTGTGATTAGCAACAAAACCAGATTTTTGTATAAGTTTTAACTTGTTTTGCTTAAAGACAGTTAACGTCTCAAAACCTAATGAATTTAATACCAAACATTTAAAAAAATCACAGATCTTTCTGCTGTCACATTTTTGTTTTCTGTCACGAATTGTTATATCACAATTTTTCCTTAGTCCGCAGAGCATATCATCTATATTTGAGCATAAAAAAAAACAATCATAAAAAGAGGAGGATGAGACGAGAGTGTTTTGTCTTACCTGAGCAGATCAATTTCATCAACATGAACCCCCTTCACTGTGTTTCCTCTGGGCACATCTCATCAGGCAGGAAGCCAATGTGAACTGCTCTCGGCCACAAAGCACTGCCGTTTACGTGACTACAACAGGGGGGAAGACAGAGAGAGAGAGAGAGAAAAGAGATAATCAGCATATTAAGGCAAAAAAAATGAGGTGCTGGCCTGAAGGCGGGAGTGGGGAAAGACAGCAGGCGGCTCGACAGCGAACCAGAGATATAAATGAAAGAAAGTGAGAAGAAGCTGTGTTGCTTCACACAGAGGGAAGGAAGCAGCTCAGACTGATGTGAGAGTCGCAACCTCCAAGACCAGCTGTTTATAAAACCCCGGGCAAAGTGTGTGTGTGTGTGTGTGTGTGTGTGTGTGCGTGCGTGCGTGTGTGTGTGTG